ATGCCAAATGCCCAACAAGAAGATGACGGCTGCTCTGTCCCGCTGACTCGCTGTGGCGTAGAAAGGTCCTGCAGAAGGAGTCCTGACCCAGGAGGAGCTGAAAAGGCCACAGAGTCGGGCCATTGTGCAAATTAAAACTGCACTTGATTATTTCTCCTGCTAATTTTCATTGTTCAGTCCGCGAAAAACTGAAAAAAAAGTGACAGGAACGAGAATGAGGAGAGTCTGGCGGAGGAGAACAAAAAGGATAACAAGTGCCGGAGAACGGGTGGGCTGAAGAATGAGTTCTTCAGTGAAGGACGAACGTTGCTGATAAGAAGTTACTCATTAGTCATTAGGCGGAGACGGAGTGTCTCCAAGACGGTCAACAATCTATATTTGGAACAAATATTCCGGATTAGTCGCCCGACCAAGGGTCAAGGAGTCACTCCTGAGAAGAGCTCTTCTATCTGATTCGCCACTTATTTTTAAATAAAACCCGAATATCATGCGGACTTGGCCGAAAAACAAAAAGCTGGCAGTGGCTTTTCATTAGCGCGCGAGGCGTGGCAACTTAAGCGATGCCAGGTCGGGGTGAAGGGTCATCTTGAAAGGTTGTTTTCTCTTTCAATTCTGGCCACAAATTGAAAGCAAAATGCCAGCGATGATGCTGCTGATGATGATGACCTGGCCTGGACCGCGAGGAGCGGTGAAGGAGTGAAGGGGAAGGGCCCAGGAAAGGGGACACTGACTGAAAATAAAAACAAAGACAGCAGAGAACAGCAGCAAGGACCACAACGACTTTTGGCAACATTGAAACAAAAGGGCGTAGAGTAGAGGGGGCGTGGCAACAGGGAATAGCGACTCTGGGCAATGGGGGGGCGGAAGAGGAAGAGGGGAAGATCGAAAGACAGCAGAAACAGATTGAAATCAGTTTGAAAGCAAGCGAAGCGGAAAAATGCATGACCCCGTCGTTGTTGGAGGCCAAAAACCGGATGACCAGATGAGAGGGATGCTTCGCCGGCTGGAGGGGCGGGCCTAAGGGGGCGGAGGACCACAGTTGGCCATGGTTAAGTGCTGGAAATTATGTTACGCTCGTCGGCCATTGTTTTATGTCTCCATTCGAGGATTATTGGTCATGCATGAGAAGTCACACCACTTCAGGGCCTCGTCCCCCTGCTTCAGGACTTCAGGACTTCACGACTCATTCAGGACACTTCCGTTACCCCCCGTCTTCATGGCCTCCTGCCCCCCGATTGACTTAATGAATAAATAATCCGTAGAATCATCAGGCAAGGATTCAATTGAGGCTTTTCGGGCAGAAAAAAACAGAGTTCCCTGGTTTGAGTTCGAGTGTTAAGGTGGCCCGGGATTTCGCTCAGTGCATGACCGCTTTGCAATCATTTTTCCATCTGCCATTTTTCTGCCAGGATCCACACAGACACAGACACCCGTCCAGAGCGATTTTAAAATCCAACCCAGAACCAAAATCTCAACTAAGACCAAACAGCACACAAAAAACAACAGCAACAACTACGGGAGTGAATAACAAACATCCTGAGCAGCACAACAACAGCACCAACAACACACCAAGTACATCCATGCGAAAATAGCTAAAGAAAAAGTATAATTTCCATTTCAAATTGAATTTTCATTTGCACAAAAGCAGAATTGAGAAAAAGCAGAAGGAGGCAGGATCGGGAGCAGGAGTAGGAGTAGGAGCAGGAGCAGGACCAGAAGCAGCAGCAGCCTGTGCTTCCCATATATCTGTATTTTGTGGACGTCGTGCATACGTATATCCTAACCCCCAGTATCGGTAGAATATAGAGTGGCTTAAGAGCCAGAGCCGGCTAAATATTTTTGGTGGCACGAGCATGGGGGCTGGGGCAAAAGCGAAAATCAATGTCCTAACGCGGCCAGTTTAATGTTTTCGGGATTACAGCCTGCCGGCGGTCTGCAGGACTTCTTGCCTTCGCCCCTGCCACCCCTTTAGCACATGCATATCCACAAACACACACACACACAGACACATAGAGATACTCGACGTGCACCAACTTAATTTAGCATTAACACAGACACACCTCGCACACACTCACCTCCTCCGAGGGAGGATGTTGTTATGGCCATTGCTCGGGCGCCAACAAACTTTGGCCTTCCAGTCCGCACCTCCTGCCCCGTGCCACCCCGTGCCGCATACCATCTGCCCTGCACTCTCCTGTTTCGTTAGCTACGTGCCAAATTACGTAGCCGACCTGTGAGCCAGGCGAGAAACAAAGAAGGAAGCCAAACAGGAGCGGGTAAGCTGCCCCAGCAAAAACCGATCAACTATTTTCGTCTGTGTAATTAATAAAAGTAAAAAGAGGCAAACAGACTCATAACCTGCTTCGAGTTCTGGCCAAAACAGAGCCAAGGAAGTCCGATTTAAAGCGCCGGGACTTGAGCAATGTGATTAGACACATTCCTGCCAAATGCGAAACTTTTAAAGCGCCATTTGCATCGAGGCACTACCGCCCCGAAACGCACTGTTGTGGCCCTTTTCGGTTTCGGCTGGCACATTTTGGAATTTTGTTTATTTCCGACACGAACCGACAGCGGCAGCTGCGACCCAGCCGAAAATCATTTCTGATTTCTGAAATTGTTCTTTCAATTTCGCGTTGCCATTTGATGGAGCGAGAGGGTGGTGGAGGAGGCGGTGGAGGAGGGGGGCGGTGGGGATCGAAATTGCCCAATGAAGGGGATTACTTAGTGCACTTCGCTGAGCGAGAATTAATTTATTAAGCCTGTGGAGTGGATGCTCCTTGTCGAGGCCACCAGAACCCATCCCAGCCTGTCTGGCTGCACTCTTTTGATTTCCCACACGTGCCCCCCCCCCCCTCCCACACAGGGCCTGGGACGGGGCAAGGAGCCTCTAGGTTGCAAGCTGCACCTGCAACTGTCCCAACGCTCACGGCTGATTTATCGCCCATGAAATTTATGTTTAGTTTAATCGAATGGGGCAAACAAAAATTGTGCAGAGCGAGCGGCCTGCTTATCGCTGCCCAAAAGAAGTCCTGTCCCGCCACCCAGGCTCCTCCCCTCCCTCCCGGGCTCTGCAGGGCAGGCCGCCCCTCGGAAAAGTTTACTTAAGCACAGGAGGAGGCGCAGTGCGAAATTAAGCAGCAGCAGGAACCAAACCACTTCGGCCAGGAGCACAGGCGTAGGCGAGGCCGGATGCGGGGGCAGCGGCTCTGCCGAGTGGACAAAACCCTCTGACTGACTCCTCCTTAAATTACATATTTGTTATTAAATTTTCAGTTCCACAATTTTTATAAAAAGGATAATTTCCAAGCGGAGTTATAAGGGACGCACGCCCCTGGCATGTCAGCCGCCGTCCAACCCCCGCCGGCTAGGGGTTTTATTTCTCGAGCCAGGAGCCAGGAGCCAGGACCTGCTCCTGCTCCTGTTCCTTGGACTCCTTCTTCTTACTCGGCAACGTTTACTGCTGCAACTCGCAGACGCAACTATTGCAAAATTTCAACGTGAATTTATTGCATGAACATTTCTTTTTCTCAGCTCGCATTTTGCTATTTTCTTATTTTAGCTTTTGCATTTTTTTCGTCTTCCTCATCTTCGTGATATTTTAGTTTCGCCCATATTTTTTATTTTGTTTGTTTTCCTTTTTGGCCATGCAGTTTGGGCCTCCTCCCGCTGCCCCTCCTCTAGTTTTCGTGCCTCTTCCGACGTGTTTTCGGCTCAGCGCTGAATTTTCCTGCGGCCGCCGGCTATATATGTCCTTCTGAATACAACATCCAACCGAACACACGTATATCCTGTCTGTGGCTTTAAATTCTGTGTGGAGCTGCAGCTCCAGCTCCAGCGGCCCCTGGGAGCCAACATTTAGTAGTTGCAACTTTTATGAGCCTCGGTTTACGGCCGTCTGTAGGTCATGTTAAATCGAAAGCCACCGTTGCCAGAAATAAACGTCAAGCTCTGGAAGCCCTCATTTAATTCCCCCAAAATTTTCCCCTATTTCGTGAATGGAGCGTTTTCCGCATTCATATTCAGATGGGAGATATTTTAATATTCAATCAACAGCTTCCGTCCGTCCGCCTGCGCCCATTTAATTTAAAATTTGATCAAATTTGGATGGGATTCTTGGTTTTTTGTGCGATAACCACAAACTTTTGTCGTCCATTTGCATCTATCGATCTGAGTTCCATTCGATTCAACCCGCAATGCAAATGAGGTATGGAATGCTCGCAAGTTGGCCTAAGTAGCCCCCGATTAATGTGCAAAGTTTTGGGCCACTTGCATCCGTTTTGTGGTAATTTCAGGCCATCCACCCAGCCCTTCTCCCTCCACCCCGACAGCTGCAGTTGCAGTTGCAGCTGCGATTTATTTATTTATTCTGCTGCTCATTATCCCGGGGTGGCTCCGTAATTAATGTTGAATTTACAGTGACAGATCTGTGGCGCCGATAAGACAGCAGTGCTGGCTACCAGGACCCAAGGGGCCTTCAGGATAGCACTGAAAAGAATTAGAGCCGAGGAGGTGGACTCCAAATACTTACCATTGGGCTTAACGAGGAGGCTTAAATAGGAGATCAGCAAAAGAACTCACTATACGATACCCAGTACTTGCAGCTATAGGGATTTCAAGAGAGATCTAAAGTACGCCCAGTGGCCATGTTGCTACTTGCCGTGTTGCAGGTTGCAGGTTGCAAGTTATGCAAGCGCGTGTCAGGCTGATGTGAACATTTGCATATCGCATATCGTTGACACGGTTGACACTGACCCCAAATGGAAGCCCAAACAGGGGAAGGTAGGGGCGAGTGCCGCTAGTCCGGATGGAATTATTCAATTTTTGACTAGATCAAAGCTGGGCGCTGACAGGTCACAGGTCACAGGCAACATACAGGTAACAAGCAGCGTGCTAGGTCACGGGTCAGAGGTCGCGCAGGTGGCACGCACGGGCCAATATTAATTCAATGGTGGGGCAGGAACCGATGGAGAGGCGAATAAGGGGGGGATTTGAGGACTCACCTTGCATCCGGGCCAGGAGCAGGAGCAGCGTGCAGCAGAGGGCCTGCAGCAGCTCCATATTTCATAAGCGCTGAGTTATTCTCCGGCACTCGGACTCCTCGGGCTCCGGGCTCCTTCGACTTGGGCTCCTTCTACGGCGAAACTTGGCCCGTAACTTACTGCCACTGTCAGAGCCACCGACTGCCACCGTTCAATGTCCGCTTTTCCGCTTTCCGCTGCTCCGCTTTTCCAGGACCCTCCGGCGCCTCCCTCCGTCGGAGCGATCGGCGAACAATGCGCAACTTAAAGGGCGAACGGCATTCTGGTTAATTGCACCGGCAAGTACTGCAAAGAAAGGCGGTAGACGACAAGAATGAGTGAAGGGTATGCTGGCTGAGGGGTGGGGAGTACCCAGGGGTGCTGGTTCTTAAATTAATTAGGAGCTCTGTCAGGACCCAGGGGCTATCAGGACCCAGGTGATATCCTAAATGAGTTATTTCGGACTAGTACTTTATTATACGGTTGCAACTATTCTGACACGCTCAGATCCCGAACCATTTCCAAGGCCACAGCCCAAGACGCCCGGGCAGGAGGTCCTGCACAGGGTATGCTGTGCTGGCCACTTGTATTAGCCATCGAGGGTGTGGGGCGGGCTCTTCTGGGGCATTACGTCAGAGATGGAATGCACTCGCTGCAAATGTTATTAACAAACACAATGCCATAAATACACACACACTGCTCCGGTGTGTGGAAGGGCCGGAGCGTGTAGGACACGGCGGAACAAGAACAACAATGCCACGGTGGCCACGGCTGAGTGACCTTTCTGGTCGTCAAGTAATCGCATTCGCAACGGTAGCCCCGACAACTTCGCATTTTTATGGCAACAAACGTCAGCCATAAACATTTTTATAACGCTGCAAGAAGCGACCGGAGCGAGGGGGCGTGGCGAGGGTGGTTGGCGAAGGTGGGGGCAGGTGGCGGTGGGTGTGGCGGCAAAGAAAACGCATAAACCACAAGCAAAATGAATTGTGTTTTCACTTTTTGTAATTAGCCTGCACTAAAGTGCTCCACTCAGAGAGTGCCAAGCTCCCAGACTACCAGTCCACTAGCCCACCAGACCACTAGCCCACCAAGGACTCCCAGCAGAGTCCTTGCCCGTGTCCGGATTCCTTCGGCCGGGCAATCTAAATCATGATAAACCCACTCGCAAGGTGGAGCCGAACAGAAAGCACTACAAACTTAATCAAGGAACTTTGCAGCTGCTAATCGAAATGCGGAAAGCATTTGAAAAACCAAGAGTATGAGGGGGGCGTTTGGAGTTCAAGTTGGAGTCGGAGGTGAACTAACATATGCATAGGTCCAAAGAAGGTGCTTTACGTATTAAAATAAATATTCTTTCGGCCAAGACTGGCCAACAACCTGCCCCAAATTGTCAATTTGCAAACTCGAACTCGAGAAAACGAACTTGAAACCCGTCCCAAAGCCATTGCCTCCGGCAGGACCTTGACTGGCCCGAAAACAATGCCATCGATGGCACGGCAGGACTCTGAATTGAGCAATTTTCCTCGGTCCAGTCCAGTTCAGTCCAGTCGAGGCGAGACGAGGCCTGGTTTGGGTCAAGTCCGCTTTAAGTTATTTGTATTCAAAATATTCATTTCGTGCCGGCCACGTCCCAGGGCCCGGAGTTGCGACAATTTGTAAACTAGGCCTGAATAAAACATGAAAATGGAAAACACAACGACTCTGGCAGCGGGACATGTGACTCCGCTTTCCCGCTCCGTCCGACTCGCTCGGACAAAACTGCACGGTTACATAAACAGGATAATAAGGCACTTAACATGCACTCGTCGCTGTTGTCCACCACACACACCCACACCCATGTATCTGGTGGGGGTAGGGAGGCGAAAAAATCCTTTAGAAGGAGCACTGAGGAGAATTGAGAGTCCTAGGCCCTCCGAATAGGAGCTCTTCATGGAAGACAGATGGACCATTCGATCCCAGTTTCTCTCAGTGCAGCAAATGGCGAATGCTGAATGCCTGGAATGCCTGAAATGGCTTCGTTGTAGGCGTAACAATAAGGAGACCAAAGCAGGCAACCAACAAACAACAAAGCAACAACGGGAGAGGCAGCAGCAGTCGCCGCCACTTATGTCAGAGCAAATCAAGCGTTACACTCCCCCTGCCACAACGCCGCTGTGCCTCATGCCCCATGCCCCATGCCCCTGTGCCGCTCCACTCGCTCCTCGAGCTTTTAGACATTTTGCCTTAATTTACGTTTTATGTCATGTCATGAGCGTAATTGAAAATTTCCCCAGCTAGCCAGGATCCTGCTGGAGGACGCGTTCATTACGCCTGCATGTGGGCCCCGAGTTAATACCCGATCGAAGCTAATGAAGCCATCGGCGGGGCCAAAGGAATCCGCACGGGCGACACCCTGAGCAGACAATCTTCGAAAATTGGCCAAATTACATGAGTAAACAAGAAATTAAATTGTAAACATATTTTGGGTATTTTTGGGGAAGTTCGCACCTCACAGAGCAGGGAGGGATCCCTTCGAGATGGCATGCTAGTTTGCAAATTGATTCAACTTTATTTTTTAATTGTTTCCCCAAACTTGAGGACTTGCTGCACATGGCTGCCTCAATTCCATTTGATCGTTTCTTTCTGAAACTTTTGCTGACACTTGACAGAAGGCAGGACTCTGCCGTCTGCCGTCTGCTGCCGTCTGTAGGCCTTCTGCTGCCAGTGTCTCTCAATTAACTTGAAAACTTCCTGCAGACTGAGGAGGTTGCAGGTGGCAGCAGCTAGCAGGCGGCAGAGCAGGAAAAAGGATACAACAATAGACAGCAGATTATGCAATTCGAATGCAGCCTTATCTCGTATTTCAGGCATTTGTCACACAGTTTACATATTTGGCACACATTTTATTTGAAATTTTAATAAGTTCGCTCGCTCTGGATATCTGCAAGTCTAAGCCTCAGTCCGGCAGCCCGGCAGCCCGGCAGTTGGTAGTCGGCATTCAGCATTTATTCCGTAAATTATTGAAATGTTTTCTGGGGACTTAAATTTGTGTCTTTATTCGGCTTTAAAGAAGACATGTCCACAAAGACGGCTTAATTGGGGCTTGCCACTCAAGCTTAAAGGGAGTGTTGTTATTGCGGCGGAGCGGCGGCAGCTTCAAAACAATATTAATTTCCAGCCAGGACCTTTTAGCCGGCCAACAATGAGATCATTCTGCTGTTTTATATATTGTTAGTTGGATTTGCATTTGCCGACAATTATCTATTTTTAATCCGGCAAACAAAAGGCAGAGTTATTGCAACTGCTATTGCATTGTTAAATTCGATTCCCTGCTGTCTCTGACACGGCGGCCCTTGATGAAAACAGGGCGGGGCTTAATCCCGAAAGGGCCACCGCCTGGGCCCAGTGTCCTCTGTCCGATTAGCACAAGGAGGACGATCTGCCGCCACACAAATCATTCGCAGCCCGTTGGATCCTTAATTTGCTTTAAATAAATTTTATTGGTATTGCAATGCAGCTGGGCAGGGCTGCAGGGCTGCAGGGTCTCTTGGTCCTTGTCCTGGACCATGTCCTGTGCCAGGAGCTACAAACTAAATGACATTTATTGTCAGACCGGGGGAAGTCAGACCGTTAACCGAAAATGTCTTTTCATATTTTTCATGCACCATTTCAGCGCGCGGCCCTGGCATTTTGTGCGTTGCATTTTCATACAAAGCCACGTGGTACGTGGATATGTGTTTTACTTATGCGTATTTATTTATTGACCAGGTCCAGGACTCAGGGCCCATCTCTGCCCCCTTCCCTTGCTGCCCATTCCCATTCCCATTCCATGCCCATGACCATCCAGATCCCAGCCAGTTGCCACAAGAATATTGCAATGGCAATGGCTGACAAATTTATTTCGTTTGGCCGCCGGCGGTTTTTCTTTCCGCCCTTTGTTCTTTTCATTTTTGCAATGTGTCGGACCCTGCCATGCATATTAAAATGTTCAAAAACACACTTGCAACATCGACACACACCGCACACCCAGCCCACCCACCACACACACGGCTGCCCGGCCATTTACTGTTGCATATTCATTATTGAAAAGTTTTTCAGCTACCAAACTCCCCCGCACCGCCTACGACTCATAACAAAAATGATAAGCAAATGTTTTAAACTCGCCCCTGAATGCATCACGATTCCTTGGGGGATCGAACGAGTGCTCTGTTTTATTTGCTTCCACAAACCTCCCGCAATTATTTCAGGTCCGAATCCATTTATTTTGGAATTAGTCGGCCAGAAATGCGTCTGATGTGTTGCATTCATAGTTATACGGCGGGTAGTTCCTTGGGGGCGACGGCAATCAATTGATTGATTCATTTTTATCCTTTGATAACGGTTTTGTACCAAAGGACATTGGCGGTACCGGGCATCACATAGCCTTCTGCTACTCCAACATTTTTTTCCGCCCTACTTCCCAAGGCATTTTAGCTTTTCTGGCCCCCGAAATCCTAATCCCACTACACAGATCTCGGGCTTTGGCCGACTAATTACTTTTCCGCCTGCAACCTTAAAAGTTCGCCCCCCGGCCAAGTTGATCAAACTAATTTGTTGGCTTCCCAACTGTGGGCTGCCGGGGAGCTGGCGGGATGCCACACAATAAAATCCGCAACAATCTGGGCCGCAATCTGTAGTTAAACTTGGCCACTTGGACACTCGGGTGTCGTGTGGCATTACGACTTTTTCGGCGTAACAGTTGCGTGCGGCGTTACGGAAATTCCTATAGCTACGTAAACATAAACGGCTGCTAATTGAAATATTAACACCTAAACGGATGAGGACTATGACGATGACGATGACGACGCCGATGTCACCGCAACTACCCTGCCACATGCCACTTGCCTCCCACACACACACACATACTGCGAGTCGCCACAACATGTCGGGCCAATCACTGCGAGTGTGAGTGTGTGCAATTAAACAAAATGCGCATAACAATTGGCTAACCACGATATGCGACCTCAAAAACATAAACAACCGCAAATGTAGCGTCATGAACACGCAAATGGCCAAAAAGAGGACAAAGTGGCCCGAACGGGCGGCAAGGGCGCGGCAAGGTGCAAGTTCACGTTAACCCATAAATACATACACGCATTAATAGTGTTTGTACTGTAATATCGCCCCCATGTGCCGGGCTACAATTTATTCCGTTTGTGCAAATAATTAGTCGGGCCCTTTAAAGGCCAACACTTTTTATTTCCCAGTTCCACTGGCTGGCCAGGACACTTTCAGTCATCTGAGGGTGCAGCGTCAAATCACTTTAAGAAAAATATTATTCCAACTCGCTGCCAACGGTTAGAGGCATGCTTTGTTTAAAAATCAACATGGAGGTATTCCGGATTTGTTTTTCTGTGATTCCAAGGATTTAAAATCACAGAACCAAGGAGCTGCAGGCCGAAAGGACCGGCAGACCTGCATGCTGAGCTCCAGGATCCGGACCAGGATCCGAATCTGAATGCAGGCTGATTGCCGACGAGGAGCAAAAAATAAGTAAGGAAATCAGACAGCTCGCTCTACATATGCACTCCAATTTTATGAAAATGCTTTTTATTAATTTCGTTTTGATTCCGTTTGGCTATTTTGCGAATGTGAGATTCGCGGAGAGGACGGCGGAGGCTGGAGGCTGGAGGGAATGGTTGGAAAAACACGGAAAAAATGGCAAATAAATTGTCAGCTTGATTTTATTGTTGACGGCAGCGACGCCGTTCGGGGAAATTGCTGGCAAATATTTGTGCAATTTTTTGTTTCCCCATTACCCGCGGTGCATGCCCGAAATTGTGTCCGGCCGAGAGCGGGGCGGCTCCAAAAATTGGCCATTTGATTGATGAAAATTTGATGAAATATATTTACAATAAATACGGGAATAAAGAGCCTGTCCAGCCTGTCCAGCCCATCCCGTCCTGATCCGTTCCGTTTCGTTGCGATAACAATTTCCCGTCCTGCGCTGACTAATCCGCGGCAATTAAACCATTATTTCCAATTTAGCCAAGGGAATACGAATTCGGGTATGGAAGCGCATTCCCCAGGCACTCTTTTGTATTTTATTGCGGAATTTATGAAATTTCTCTCAATTAAACATTGTATGCAACTTATTCGGCAACGAATCGCGGCTTGTGCATAAATACCAGGGTTTAGGGAGCGAGGAAGAATTCGAAGCACTGGTTTCTGCCTGAAGGGTTTTTCGAAATAATTTTCGCAGCTCACAAACACAAGTTCTCACTATTGTCGCACTGGAGACATCACATCACTTTCGAAAGGATATCCTATCTCTATACACATCCTAACGCCTCTCTTTCCCCGCCAAGGATATTAGCGTCAAAGCCAACTTTAGAAATCTACTTCTTCACTTCATTAAGCTCTTCACTTCGCTCTAAAGATATGCCACTTTTATTGCCACCATTAAATATTAAACGCTTCTACTTAAAAATGCATTCCAATGAGCCCCCGAAATCTTGTCCTCCGTCGGTGGAAAATTAGCGCGCGATTCTCTCGAAACTGACAAGCTTCCATTCCGGCCATTCCGGGCTGACGTTCGAATGCACTTCCGTTTCCGGCACTTGAAGTTGGCATTCGAAATGCAATCGAGAAACGATTAGTCAACAAGCCCGGCCAGGGCTTTGTCTTCTGTATCGGTCTTCGGTTCACAGTCCTTGGCCGCTGATTTGTTTCGCGTTTGGCAGCCAAACTTCTTGTTTCTGACTCTGAATTCGCATTTAACGTTTTCGGGGGCGGCAAGTTGGCTAATGAAAATTACCAGGCAACACGGTGTTGCTGGCTGGGCTGGCATGTGAGCCTTTTGATTATAATGAGCGCAAATTACGTTGATTTGGGGCCTTTGACTTTTCGGTTTGGTTCCACCGACCTGCGGTTGCTACTTGTTTGTTTGGCTGCCAAAATCGAGAAAAGGCAAACATATCTTTCGGCAGCGCCTGTTTTTGGGATTTGGACTCTGATCTGGATTGGTTTCTGTGTGTCGTGTGCGGGGCCCTCATTAGTTGCCCGAGGAATTTCATTGGCTTTACCTTTACCTTTTAATTTGATTAATTCGGCCGCCCGACTGATTGCCTGACTTCTTGGGAATCGACTTGCGACTTTGCGGGTTTCTGGCACGCAACAAAAACAAAAAAAAATTCCGAGTATTTCAGGAGATCGCTGGGAACAGAGAACTCTATGGGGTAACTTGAAAGTTTCACTTAGTTTTGGTTTGAGAGTTGAGAAAGGATCGGTTGGGATGCACGGCTCGGATGGAGCGACTGACAGTTTCCCGCGAATGCTGTTCGAGATTCAACAAGGACGAGCTGCCAGCTCAAGTCGAACCGCACGTGTTGACGCTTCAAACAAAACTGTTGCGCTGCGGACTGGCTCTGTGCTGCGGTGCGAGTCCTTCGAGTGGCAGGACCTCGGCCGTGCCGACGCGGCCCGAGCGCCTCTCGGCTCCCTTCGGCTGTTGTCACGTCTGCCGTTGGCTGTGGGCCATCCTGGCGGCCCGTGGCGCCGCTTCCTGTTTGCGAAACTGGCCACTGGCGCCTGCGCCCCGTTGGCCAAACTGCTGCCGAACGCCCTGGCGAATGTCCTGCCGAAGGCTCCGCAGCAGTCGCCTCGACTCGGGCCGTGGCGGCCGAAGGATGTCCGGCGCGCCACTGCCTGATTCGCAGGACTCACCGTGTGGTGAATTCTGAGGACTTGCCGGTTCCAATAGATTTGTTTACGTTTTGTGTTTACATTCCAGGACGAGCTGGAAACACGTGGCGTCTCCTTTGGATTGTATCCTGCCATTGAATGAGTTCAAATAATGCGTTTTTGAGGACCCAAAGAAGAGATTAAAAATCAGATATTAAAAGCTCAAAGTAAGTATTAATTGTTTTAATTATTAAAAGTTAGTTTTAGTCATCCTAGTTTTCTTCAATCCAGAAAATGTTAAAATATATATAATTCTTGTTGAAATATAATTTTTTTATGCTTTTGGCTTTTTTACGGTCTTCAGATTTTGTTTTTTAAAGAGTCCTGGAAGCCGCAAGTCCTGTTCCGGCTGCCCAGGCCCTGGCTCTCGTCCTGTCTGCATTTTGTGCGCATTTTTCCATCTGATTTGACATTTGTGCTAGGTAAACACAAGAATCCCAGCAACTTTTAATAAGACCGAGGAAATGGACTGTTTTGAGCACGGGCTGGCATCAGAGGGGGGATGGGAGGAAAGTGTCGAGTGCCGAGATTCTGGCCAGTCTTCTCCAGAACCAGAACCAGGACCCGAACCAGAAATCAGAAAACAGACTGGGGCTGGGACTGGGACTGGAGAGTGAGTGTGTGTGCTTTGGCTCTTTTGAGCAATTTAGTTTTCTGCCATTTGCCACAAATGAAATTCGCTTTTTTGGGCCGCCACGGCGTATGCGTCATGTGTTTGCACTGCACTTGTTTCTGGCCAAAAGCGGGGGCGATTTATTCGAGGGGGGGTAGGGGCTAGGGGGCAAGCGGCCAGTGGCAAGTGGCAGTTGGCAGAAGGCAAAAGCCAGACCAGTTTTGAAGAACTTCCCTCTCAGTTTCGGCCACAAAGTGAGCCAAAAAAGTAGTTCCAATCGAACGAATGCCTCTAACTAGCTTTTTGTTTAGTTGCTTGCTTCAATTTAATTAAATTTTCAGCGCCGGTCTGCCCCATGGTTTTGTCTGGCACGAATATTCAAGCAAATTAATTGGGGCAGGCACACGATACTAATAATAGAGAAATCGAGCGGCTGCCTGCCTGATTTTTGCCAGTCAGCCAAGCAAGTCAGCCAGTAATTTTAATTAATTTCCCGGACGCCGCCAAAGCTAAATAGCAATAGCAATTGCAATACCAATTGCAATCGGAATCGGAATCAATGCGAAATCAAGTCAAAAGCCCAATCAGGTTCAATGGATGTGTGTTTGCCAGCTCTTTGAAAAGGTGCGGTGGTCTACTAAAAGACCATCGTATACCCTGTAATGCTGCGGATGACAGTACTTCCGATGGGACTCGGCACTCCCCGGCCAGGCGGCTACCCTGGACGGGAACTAGCACACGTGAGAAAAACAGGAGCGTCAGGAAGCGGCCTTCAGCCTCACATGTCCAAAAGTTCTTTATTACCTTCCTAGCTGGATTATTAAAATTTCATCGAATTACGTGCGAATAATACCAAATTGCCCTTGGCACTTTATACGTCGTCCTGCGTCTTCGGACGGCTTCTGTTGCTTCTTCGTGGCTCGGTTCTCCTGCTCCGGCTCCGGCTCCTCTCCGCTGCCAGCCGGCGTACAATTAACTTTAGCAGCCACTGTAACCAAGAAATCAGAGAACAGGAGACGAAAAACAAAAGCCATCTATTTTTTATACGCCATTCGGCAGAAGCTGGCATTTCGGCATTCCGGCATTTTGGCCCGGCTCTTTGGCATTTATTTTTCGCTCTCGCAAGCGCTCATGTGGACGTATAGAAAAATATATACATGTTGTGGAAAAAAGATAGAATCCAGGAAGAATATAGAAATTTCGGAACATTTGTGCAACTTCAATGTTGATGATGAGTGCGCTGCTGCCGCTTCTGCTGCTGCTGCCCCACAATAAAGCCAAACTTTTTTGATTACTTTATGCTAACGGCAGCTGCGTCGCGTTCACATTTAGTTTTTGGCTTTGGCCGCAAAGTAATTGCAGGACCCACACTGCAAAAAATGGGGGCCGCCACTGACAGATGTCGGCCAGAGTCTATTGGGGCACCGCATATTGACACAATTACAGGAGAGGCGGGAGTGCTAATGACTCTCAAGGTGCCCCAGCAGTGCCGGGTTTTAAACTTCAGAACTGATGTCCTGGAACTGTGGTTAACGAATAGACAGAACAGAATACCGCCAAGCTTAAATCCGAACCCGAATCCTTTCGAGGGGCGAATAAAATTAAAAACAGCAGCCCGCCTGAAAGGACATGCATTACTCATACGACATGCCGTCGTTAGGAAGAAATTAAATTTACAAAGTCAGGTCAGTGACAGCTGCCCGAGAATCACCAGGCAGCCTCGCCAGCCAGCAGGATGTTTTGCTTCTCCGGCAGACAGGTCAGCCAGGATCGGACGGCCAGAGGAGGAGGAGGAGGACGGCAGGAAGAAGTCAAGGAGTCGGAGTGGCGGTCCAGTTGCCACAGTTGATTGGTTAGCACTAAGCGAAAAATTTGCCGGCCATAAATGTCGGTTTCGGGCAGTTTGGCTAGCCCCTGCCCCTGCCCGCTCTCTCTCCCTTGCTCGCCAGGATGTTCCTATTTGCCATATCCTTCGCTTCCTTGAGGAAGCTTCCCCATCCTAGCCTCGCCAAAAAATTTACATGCGCTCAAATTTTTAGCTGTTGCCCTTTTTCTGTCTTCCCTTTTTTTCCTGCCGCTGGTCATTGCCTGGGAAATGCCCCCAGATCCTTCCCCCCACCGCCCCTTGCAGAGCCCCCGTTTCGGGGATACATATATCTGGATGTATACTTTTTAAGCTGCAGATATATCACAGAACACCGAGAACAATCTGGGCGGGTTTTTGGACCATTTGACTTCGTCTATCCAACAAAGCAGAGAGCCAAAGGACGAATTAGGACCTGCGTTTATTTTAAATATATTTAATTTTATTTTGGCTTGAATGGCGGTGCCTGGCTCTTTTCTCAATGTGATGTTCACGCTCGTATGTGCAGCACGTAGCCATATGTATGTAATGTTAACTTGGCTGCTCAAAAATGTTCAGAGTCGGCCAAAAGTTTCGGCAGCTTCCCTGCTAGCCAGGCCCCCCTTTCACACTACCACCGCCCCGCCACTGCCTGCATATGTGCGCCGGTTAAGTGGTTTTTGTGGCTGAAAAGCAGAAAACTCATTAAAGTTTATTTCAAACACAAACAACAACAACAGCATAGGGCGGGAGCTCACAGGCAGGGGAAGGGCTTGCATTTTATGGGGGAGGCTGGGGAGAACGCCCGGCAAACTTCGGTCAAAAATTAAGACATATGCTGAGGCTGAAACTGAAACTGAAACAGAGCAGTGGCGAACTCCACAGTCTTTGGCCATATCTACACCGTTATGCATGTCTCAGTCTCGGTGGCGAGGCGCCCCTCCCCCAGGATTCTCGAGAGCCCGCACACCTCCCTCCTCAATTGACATACACTTTGCGGGGCCGGGGGGTGGATCACTGCCACTGTTGCTGCGGTTTTTTGGCCCCAAAACTTTGCCAACTGCAGCAGTGCCGCTGCACAGCGTGGGCGGCCTCGGCGAAGGGGTTAGCTGATGGACTGGCAGCGGAGCCGGGTGTCCGGGGCGGGAAAAGAACAACCAAACTCCCATCGAGCTAACCACAAGGGTCAATTTGCTCGATTCCGCATCTTCTTCAGAAGGGCCTCGGGCCAGGGAACTGTTGTTTGCAATTTTTGAATTTTAAAGCATTTTGGGTCTATGTACATATGTATGTATGAGTATGAATACCCGGTACTCACGGCGTCCGTACAAATTCTGTTGAAGAGACCCTCTTGATTGTCCATCGTCTTTAATGAAACCTTTCAAGTAATAACTGCCCGTCATTGTTTCGTTCGTGGCAGCCCCAAGGACAATAAATAGGACAATGTGTTGCTTTCCTCCCAGCATGGTCTCTGGCTTTAAGCCCTGTTTGTTGCTGCTGCTGCTGCCCAAATTAAACAATCTGTTGACAACTATTGGCCACAAAATCTTTGTTAATTGCCTTTTTGTCTCCCGGAGGCCCGAAGGCCTCCTTGTGTGCGGAGTGTGTGTAACTAATGGACCGCCCACCGACTGCTAATTACTGCTCCGCCCCTCCTCCTGCGCCGGCAGTAATTTGAAATTAATATAATCGGCTGGTCTTTAAACAGCAATTGCATTCTGGGAAATTGTACAAAAAACACACACAATGCACCAGTGTTTGCAATCAATAAGTGGTTAGATTGACATGACAAATAACAATTATTCCGTCTCGAAGGACCAAAAGTTGGGAGAAGAAAAGATGAATGGAACTCCACAAGCTTGGATCTCAAGCCCGGCCAACTGTGCTGTGCTTATTTCTCTGTCAAACGTGATTGCGCATCAAAAGTCTCTTATCGGAGATCAAAGTTCAATTGAAACCCGAAACAAAGTGAGAAAGAAATGCGAAACCCGGATCATAAATACATACCTACCCAGGCCGGAGAGCAGCGAGGCGGGAGGTCGCTGGAAATAGAAACATCGCTGGAAGAAAACAATCTAATTTAAAGTTTACAAGTTACGACGAGCCAGAGGGGGAGTGGCAGAAAAAAGTGGCAGAACGAGAAAAGGACCGGAAACGACTTGCAACATGCAATTTGTTATCTCAAGTAT